GCAGCCAGCATCAGAGAGATAGGTTTTCCCCCCCCATCTTTACCACATCTTCTGCTTTCCCACAAGCCATCTAACAATGTCTGCTGCTTTAGCCATGAAGAACATGAAACTCATTCAGCCGTTTTAGAGCCTTATCTTGCTCATCACAGAACAGGCAATGTCCTCTTCCCCGATCTGTCTGCTCACTCCTCTCTTTCCAAGCCAGGCTGGCTCTACCAGTGAACCTCCCAACAAAGGGAGAATCACAGACTTATTTGGATTGGAAAGGACCATTACAGATCAGCTCGTCCAGCCCCCATCCTTTGGGATATTCCTTTGATGAACATAGAAGCTGCTGAATTCTCGAGTTTGTGTGTGGTATTTTCCAAGCTATTTATTTACTTTGGTTTCCATAACTGCACACTGAAAGGATGCATTCTTCTCAAAAGACTCTTATCGTAATTCCTAAGATTATTATCTGTGAAAGCAGTTTAAACATTAATTAACGAGCATCCATCACATCTGCTGTGAGTTATGGTCTGTGTTTAGTGGACCAGTAGGATACAAAAAGCGATCTGGCATATAAAGAAACACAGTGAATTCAGATACTCTGGAAGTTGTGGGGAACAGAAAACCACATAATATTTTCAATACCCTTTTTTTCTTTTTTGTAATTCAGATGAAGCAAAGATAGAAATGTCAGATGAGCAGTCCAAGCCGCAGAAGAAATAATCATCATGGTTAAGATATAAAGATATCTGTGTCTGTGTGTCTGTCTGTATCTGTATCTGTGTCTGTGGTGTCCAGAGCCCATAGGACCCTGCCTGTTCATTAGACTGTAGTTATAATTGCTCAGCAATGTACACTTTAATGACTAAATACAACCTTTATTATAGAAATGCCAATAATAGAAAAATAAAGAGCATATCTTACATCTCATAGCAAATTATTCTTTTAGCAACCATATATTATAGCAAGCTAGAAGTGATCAACCAAACCATCACCTAGCACACAACTAGTTTATAATCAGAGCCTCTTCTTTGTATGGTGCTCTTTTAGGGACTTTTTGCTCAAAATGTTTCCTCAGACGAGATGTTTAAATGAGGAAGTCTGTCAACCAAGACCAATTACAGCCATGGAGCCTTCCCACTGCGGGGAGGACCTCAAAGCAACTCCATTAGGTAAAAAAGTGCCAACCAAATAATCTCCCTAAATTCTGGCAGAAAATAAATACATGCATCAGCTGTAAAAGCTGCACATGGCAACTCAGGGAGCAGCTGGGCTGCCTAATTCTCACTCAGTGTTAAATTTAGAGAGGCAACATCCCTGCTGCAGGCTGTTGACATGTTTTGTGGTGAGGGAAGGAGATGATGGGATGCAGGCTGCGCTGCAGGGAAGAGAAAGGCTGTACTTAGGGGCTGGGATCTCCTGATGCAGTCAGGAATTCTCCAGTGGATCCTCTGCTGCTGTAAAGCACTGCCTCCATTGGATCTTTTTTGCTGCATGTGTGCAGCCATTCACGGGAGCTTCCAATTTTCTCATTGGTTTATACCATGTACTTTTCACCTGTGCCATTTAGAGCAAGCCCAGAGCAGCATCATTCATGTAGAAAGGGCAGTATGCAGCTTCATAAAAACAGCAAACAAATAATAGCAATAAAAAGCCCAAGAACAAATCAGGTAAACCCAAATCCAAACATTGTTCATTATCAGCAGTTTGATTCATTTTACAAAGAAAAAGGAGTGGGGGGAAAAAACATTAACCTTGCATCATCAGTAAAAATGCCAGAGGGTTTCACAGGATTAAGCACAGAATTATCAGTCATTAAGAACAGAGTTCTCTCGTCATAGTGATATCAAATTTTAAAAGACTGAATATGAACATAAAGAGATTTTTCTGTACAGAACATAACAAGAAAATGCTATATTCACATCAATGGAAGTAACAAAGTGTACAGACCATGCAACCCAGCACTCCAAAGACCATGTGAAATAGGACTTTGTTTTGAATGGGAAAGATGGCTGTTGATCACTAGTCAGAACTGCTTCGGGTCAGATCGTGTATGGTGCTGAGCCTTTTAGGCATTGCTTGTTCTTAAAATGTCCACGTGTAGCGGTTTGGGATGGTAACACCACTATTGCCCACACAGACTCATTTACAAATGGAAGCTCTTCCATATATTCACCTTTCCTGCTGGACACCTCATCAATTCCTTTGTTTTTTAAAAAAGTTAATGTTTTAATCAAGTACAAAAATCTGCTTTCTAAATAACACATTAATAGCATTAACTAACCCTGAGAACCAGAGGGATGTTATTAAGTCAAGGGCCTGGACACTGCCCCTGAGTTCAGTGGGCTGCTTGTCCACGAGCCGGAGGAGGAAGGGTAAAAATAAGCAGATAAATTTTACTAAGCAGTATTAACAGAGGTGACGCTTTTACAAAACAATAATTTAATACTCAAATTTCAGTTTGAGTATTCAACCGAATACCATTCAAATCACTGTATCTGTATTAAAGGTTTGAAATTTTGGTATTCTCTTTCTTGTGCTACTTTACCATATAACAGTAGCCAGCTGCCTCCTTTGCTCACAGCTCATTCTGACTTCTGTCTTATGTTTCTCCAAGTGCAAAAGTGCTTTAAAACTGTATCTTTTTTTTCTTATTCACTGGTTCATTCAGACTCAAAGGGAACATTTCTGGAGACTCTACTTCACAGCTACATGTTATGTCAATTATGGAACAGTATGGCCATGTTTCCTGCTTGACACAGACCAGCATCTTCTAGTAAATCATAGAATGGAAGGATTTCTTTCCTTAATTTAAGTAAGTAAAATCTCAATGCTTAAATACTAGTAAAATAACAAAACTCTTTTAAAAATACTTAAGGGAAATTAAACTCACAAGATACTACCATCAGTTCTACCCAGTGAAAATCCAGTGAGGTTCCATCACCGTTAATCATTGCTCAGGATTTGGGCTATTATTAATGGAAATCAAATAATCTCCCAGCATTTCTATTTTGTTCCGATCCAGATTAAACTAACAACAAGGAATTTTTGCAGATGACTTCAGTCTTTCTTTTGTTTAATGGGTACCATTTTCCAGGCCTTTGTCCTTTTCCAGGCAAAACTTTTACTGGTAGAATTTAAACATTATCCTAACTCTTAAGGGGGAACCATGCTCTGATTTAATATTATTTTCTCTTTTGTAAATGTTTTTTTATATAATTTCATATCATTTTGATGCCATTTGCTGTAGTAAACAGATTGGTATGTGGTGTGTGTATGTGCACATTTGCACATACATTTAGCTTTATAAATCTTTTGTGACAAGAAGACTTTTCCTTGTTGCAGCAAAGAACATCAGCTAAACTTATTCTCAAAACCAATTACTACTTTCATGCCTTCATCATTGACTTAGCAGGAAATGGACTACAGAGTGTATCAACTAGCATGCTTTAAAGGAATTCCTAATTATTTCCATATGAAAATCCAGCTGCTCAGCTGTAAGCACACTAGAAAGCATTCACTTTTGGGTGGAGTTTGTCCAAGGCCTCTGCAAGCTTTTATTTCCCACAGAAACCTTGGAGATACAGCATCAGCGGATTTCTGTTTGCTCATGGACCTTGTGAAGGTCTGCCACGATTGTGGCTAATTAAACCCTGGCATTTTCCAAGTCTGTGGTATCTTCCCAGATTAAGAGAGATCACAGTGCTGTCATCTGGGTAGAGGGACAGTTACTGAGTTCAGTGACAGTCGCTGTGGCAGGTCCATGTCTCAGTAGGAAGTAGGTGATTCATGAGCTCTCAGAAGACCATAAAATAGTAAACTCCTTGAATTTATCAAGCAAATTCACCCCTGTCCCCACCTATTGCACTGGCATCCTTAGCCCAGACCATGTTTCTCAGTGCTTTCAGACCCTCATGGTAGCTTTCTCTATGTTGTGTTGCGAGCACGTGGCAAAGGGATGCTGTGCCTTGAGCAACAATGGACAGATGGGGTGGCTTGGCCTAGTATGGCAGATGATGGAAATAGATAGATGGAGGGATGGAGGGATGGATGGAGTTACTTGCTTTCAAACACGTGCCCAGTTCTGCTGCACAGACTCAGCTGCCTGTCAATCAGCTCCTGAATTGTGCCGTTTGCAGCATAACACCTCAGGATAAACTTACCAACACAACATTGCCCTAACATGCTGTGCTTTGTGAGGCTGCGGTTCGCAAATTATTGGCAGGAAGCTCAGACATCTTTGCAGCAGGGCTGAGACAAGCAATGACAAGTGATAATTCAGGCAAATACTGGTCAGGCAGACCCTGTGTGACCTTGGTTGGGTAATTTTCTCTTATTTGCATACAGGGTAACTGGAAACTAGAAAATTTTCTAAAATTACTGCCTCCAGAGGGAGAGTCACACGTTACCACTGGGTTCTTCCAAAAGGCTTAGTGGGAAAAAAGAAGAACTTATGAAATGTAACCCTGATATTTACAGGACAGGTGAAAACTTGCTCATGAATGGAAGTCACACTTACACTTGCCGTCAGACTTCAGCACACACAGTGTTCCCACAAGGCTTTCACTGAGCTCTGATTTAACAGCGTTGTCTGTAACTGTGAACTTCGGGTTTATTCACTCGAAGATTGTATCACTGGACTAATCTATTTTAATAAATCTAAATGCCATCTTTAAGAAGCCTGATGGATTTTCTGCGGAACAGTGATACTGCCCATTTGAAGGTATTTTTAGGCATCTGACTTAGGTGGTCTAAATTGCCTCCTTTGTTGATAATATAAAGAATTTTGTTCCTCTGGCCTACATCTAAATTAGATGCTAAGAACAGCCTAAAGAAAATGGTGTGAGTTCTCTCCTTCCTACCTTAAATAAATCCTTACAGAAATATCCATTAGCTTTAAACACATGGTGTCATCCCACTTAAAAATATGGCTTCAAGGCAGTGAGATTGGCAAGTAGAAGCTAAAACTCCTGTGACTTCTCCTGCTATACATTTGGAAGTACAAGGGCACCTCATATACGTTCATATCCTCTATGTGGCTTTCTTCTGGAAATCAGGAACGTGACAAACACAATGACAAACAATCCCAGGATACTCAAGCCCACAGCGATGGGAGCTGCTTTGCTGTTTTTATCAGGATAACATTCTTCTTCTGAAAGTAAAAGGAGATCAGAGAATGTGTTTTAGCAGAACACCATACTCCTAGATTATACATCTGTTTCCAAAAAAGTTAGCAAATACAAACCAGAAGTTATCAAAACCTTGTTTTTTCTTTTTTTCTTTATTTTTTTCCTGAGCTATACTTAATACATTTTTGTCTGTGGTGGATTTTATCTCAAGAAAACAATACTTGCCCCCTGCGAAATAGCTACATGCTTCACTGGAGAATGACTCTGCTCTTTCATGTCTGCAGTAATTGTTTTACCACCAAGATCAGCACATACACAGCAGGAGGCTTTCTTGCTGATAGCAGATGTACATCACACTACAAAGTGCAGTTCTGAAAATAAAGAGCAATACACATCCTGCATGGACAAAAACTGCTCCTGTGTGGCATCTAATTGCTTCTGCCCAATCAAAAGGATCAGGGAGCCCATAGCCCAGCACTTCATTAGCACAGCAAGGGTCCTAATTAAGTCAGTGTTTCCTAAGAAAAATAAAATTCTCATTGTTCTCTGTGTTTAATTGAGAATATTTGTGGATTATTGTGACTAACTCAGAACATCAAGAGATTAGGAAGACACAAGCCTTGGATTTAGTCCAGGGGGTTGCTTTAGCATTACCATTGTACTTGTATTGTACATATGATGATATCAGAAAAGGTTTTGACAAAAACGGTATCTTTTAAGAACCATCCAAAGATATAGTCACTCTAAACATACCTCTTAGCTACAGAGAGGGCAAATCCTGACTTCTTCAGACAGTCCCTACCCAAATGAATATTCAAGCCATCCTCTGATTAAATGGAAACTCATTACTTAAAATTGAGTTTCCAGACTGGGGCAAATTGGCGGCTTTCCTATGGAGAGACTGCACCATCTGGGACACTGACATAAATGGAATATTTACACAAGTAACAATGGCACGATCAGTCTCAAATTCACAAGTGTAACCCTGGAGTGAGGGCAAGGTCTGGGAACGATGACTAAAGTGATACCAGAAATGGATCAGACGTACATCTCTCATCTGATCTACAGAATGGTCCTTCCTGGTGCTCCAGTAAAAGAGAGGCCTCTAACATGGTGCTCTAATGGCACCTGAGTAGCAAACTATCCTTAACTTGCTCAGCTGAACTCCACAGTGTATCCCAGCTCAGTAGTGAACCCAGCTTATAGCCAAGGCATGAGGGAGATCCAATGCCCTCTGCCCCTTTCACTCCCTGTGACTATTCCAAGGCAGATTTTGACAGCAAAAGCCTGTATTATTATTGTCTAATTCTGATGACTGTGCTGGCACAGACTGTAGCTTAGCTTGGGCCTTTTCCCCAATGGCAATCATGCTGGCAAGGGCAGGCAGTCAGCCCAGGGAGCTTGTGGTGTGCATGACATCATGTCACAGCTCCACAGCCTCCACGGGGCTTTCCGGTCTCCTTTGATCCAGGTGGTGATTTCATCTGATGCAATGCCACAGAGCCAAAGGCATCAGCATTCTGCTAGATGCTGCCTTTTAAAAACTTTACCAGGTTAATGTAACCTTCTGTTAAGGAAAAGGGCTGAAAAGTATTTTCTTTTGAGTACTGCAAAAGCCAGAGGTGTTTGAATTGACCCTTTTGCTTTGACAAAACCTTGGGCTATGACTCTAGGAATTGTTTCTGATACACTGCAGTGCAGTTCAGAAGATGATTTTAGAGCTTTCCAGACTCAAACAGGCCAAGCTGTTGATGTAACACTGCTGCAGTCTGTACAAAATCGTAAGGAACTTGAAACCAATGATCATTACTGTTTTCTTTTTCTTCCCCTTTTAAAGATAAGCAAATCAGGAGCAACAGAAGTGAAACAACCGGTCAAGAAACCTGAGGGGAGAAGGCTGGTGAAATGTATAGAGCCATTCCTTCACAGGGGATTTCGTCTTTCAAAATCTGCATATGCAGCAGAGATACATAACAGTTTCATAACTATTTCTTGGCCACTGGGGAATTATTTCAGATGTGGTGGCTGCTTTCTCAGCCCTTTGATTAAGAGCAAAACTGATTTAATTTTGTATACGGCATTGATTAGCAGAGATTAGTCTGACCTTGGCAGGGGGAGAGACAGAGACAGTCTTTCTAAGCTTGGTCTCTGCTAGAGATGAGGCCATACCAAAAGCCATAACCGAACTCACTCATTGTACAAATTCAGATAGGAATGTGGGAACCAGATGGGATCCCAGGAGTTGTTCCAGCTCAATGTTATCCCATTAAAAAAATCTTCATGAGAATAATAGCATATATTGGATTCTCAGTGTGGCTTATAAGACTTTAAAGAGAAGTATGCAAAAAAAAAAAGCTTCATGGCTTAAAAAAGCCCCCTCAAAATCCCCAAATGTTGTTTCTCATATTCCCTTTAGAATAAGAAAGGCAGCCAAAATGGGGAACTAACAAAAGAAGAATCAGAGCCAAACTGAGTCAAAAGACAGATCTAAAGTAAAGAGAAGAATACAGGAGCAGTATTTTGTAAGCATGCAGCAAGTCAGATGTCAGAAGAAGGGAATGTTTTATTAGTGTATCTGATGAGCCTCTCTGTCCACCTGAGTTCTTGTATGGAAACACCCTGAGAGGAACTCACAGAAACATGAAGATGTACAATTTGAAAGGGACCACGGGGTCTCATCCAGTCCACCTCTATGGTTTTTGCAGGATCTTTCATGCATCTCATAAGAAGTAAGGCAGTAGACCATGAGAGTGTCCATCCTGTGGGACTCAGGAGTTTCCTGGTGCTCCCAGCAGTCATGGACCCCACAGCCTGACCTGGTCCTGGCTACTTCGCTGGACAAGAATGACAAAGACAATGTTTAATTTCCCTGTGGAAGGAACTCCAGGTGTGGGTGTAGAGAAGAAGCTCTAATGCGCACCAATACATACTCCCAGTGTGTGCAATCCATGAACCAATGGAGTCAGTACTGGTCTGTCTCTGCCTTTTACTAAATGATATGGCTGCATTTTTGTAGCTGTACTCAAGAAAAGACAAATTGCAGAGATGAGCATCACATTTAAATGTGCAACTAGAGAGCATGTCAATTGTGTTGGTCCTCAGGTGTGCATTTCATCATGTCTAGACACAGCTGCTCTAAAAGTATCATCCTCCATTCACGAATATCCTTTATTAGTTGGCAGTTTTGCTGCTGCAGCTGTGAGACATCACGAGTGTCAAGAGCCTTTCAAAATACCTAAAATCTGACTATATCCAGAACAGGGACCTTGAACTGAGCTGTACCTATTAGGGGTTTGGGCAAGGCAATGGTGGTGAACACACCTCCCCTTGTTCTGGGAGAAAATGGGTGAAGAATAAAATTGTGATTGTAGAGTTGAACATTTTTAATGAGAAGGTGAAACAGAAGGTACTGAATGCAGGAGGGAAAGATACTTTTCCGCCTTCCATAGGTATTAGCACAGTGTTGAAAATGACTCAGAGAAGGGTGAGAATACAGGAGCAGGCAGGTTACACTGTTTTGGAATTATTACAAACCTGTGATGGTGCTATAGGTGTAACAGGTTCACCGCATGTATACGGTTATAATCTAACAGATTATATCCATCAGGCTACCAGAGTGCTGATTTGTACATATCAGAAGGATGGAAAAGGTATCCAAGTACTCACCCTTTCCAAACTGGTTGCCAACAAAATCAAACGCCTGCAGCTGCATGTTAACCAAGAGTAGCTGGAAGTTCTTCTCCAAGCTGAAGGTTTGCTTGCTGGCACACTTAAAGGAATTCCCCAGCTTGGCTGTAAACAGCTTAGCATGTATGGCTGCATAGTAAAGCATACCTGGAGGCCGTAAAGAGAGACAAATGAGAATCCACATTAACTCTGTTGGAACCAGCATCTTTCTGCAATAAAATGGAGGATTCCCAGTGCTTTGGCAGAGCAGCAGTCACAGATGTGACTAAAGCATGGACATCTTCCCCATAATCTATAGTTACATTTCTTCCATGTTTAAATGAGTGCTTTAATTATCAACAGGCTGAGCTTGGGTCTGAAAACGTGGCTAAGATTTCAGATGCTTCTTCAAACAATATTTTAACAACCTGAGTCTGCAAGACAGGGTTAGGATTCTCATAGGAGCAGACAACTATCTTAGGTCTCCAGCACAGCTATTTCCAGACAAAACAGAGATACCATCTCTAGCATGGGAATTTGACATCTCTGGTCTGTATTGTTGTATGTATTAAATATGTTTTTAAACATAATTCAGTGTCACAGTACTTTACAGAAAATATGGCTCAAGTTCAAAGCATGAAAAGATCTTACAACCTGGGCACATCCTTTATGCATATCCTCCTTTGAAAGCAGCTATACCAGTCTAAGACAAAATCATCCACATCACCAACTCTGCATCACTGTATCGCAACCACATCTGACAGCACAACAGTGTCCAGCACACTCTTGATCCTCTTCAGTCTGAGGAGAACCGCTGTGGAGCACTCAAAGTATACTTGAGGATTTTAAAACCTATGATTAAGCTGATTAGTTTATATTTGCTGCAGTTTGCACTTTGCAACACACAGGAAAACTGGTCGTTTAAACTGAGAACATCCCAAGGAAACATGTCCTCTGGATCAGCTTTTCTTTTACTTTAATTGCTGTAGATCAGAAGAGGCTCCACTTGAGTTAATAAAAGTGCTCATCAGTGAGAAGCAAAATAGGCACTGACCTTCCGAAAAGCTCGATGCCATTAGGGCACACCTGGTCAAGCTCCTTATTTGTTTTTCTTCTTTTAGGGACAAAAGTCAATCCAAATACTTATGAGTAACAAGTGGAGAGCCAACATAATACAGTCATTAACCTCTCACAGATTTGATACACTGGGGAGAATTCATGGAAAATTAATGTCAGAGAAAATCTGATGTGATGGCTCAGGATTTTTCTTTCTGATCTAAATGATGTTCTTTTAGCATTTCTTGGAACAAAGCACCTGGGGCAGCTCCTGACTGTTCAAATAAGAACAAACAAGAGGGCTAATATAAGAAAAGAAAATGCGATCACAGAAGAACGCAGACAAGGTCAAGGATTTTGGGATGATCTGAAGATCCTCACCCTGGGTCCAGTTCTTATTTTTGCCAAACCAAAATGTCAGACGTATCTCCTCTCCATGTTGGTGTATTTGAGATCTGGACCCAGCTCTGCATTTCTGTGATCCAGATGCTGCATTCATTTCATTTGCCTATTAGATTAGAAAGAGGCATGCAACTGAACTGGAGTTGTGTGTGTTTGCAGAGAAAAACTTCAAGGACTGTTTTGTAGCTTAAATTTAGGGTTGAAGTAATCTCTGTTCTGAAAGAGGTGGGGCAGGGAAAGTTTTTGAAGACAAAAGGTAAATTAAACAATTCTGATTAAACTGCGGCCTGGTCCCTTCTCTTCCATTTTCATACCATAAGATTTAGGTGAATGACATGTTGAGAAAGCCTGATAAAATACATCATTCACAAAATCCAGTGTTTTAAAGACATGAAAGCCTATCCCACACTCAGAACAGATTGATACAATATTAAGACAGTGTAAAATGACTGACCTTCAGATGATAACTGTAATCTGGCCTCAATGTTACTGACATAGTACATTGGAGCTTGCTGCAAAAGAAGACACATCTTTATTTGTATTACATCCTCATGTTTGTGAAAAAAATACAGTTCACCACAGCAAAATGGTCACAAAGAATTTCCCAAAGAAACACATTTTAAAACATCACTTTCAAAACCCGAGAACCAACTTCCTTGGATGCATCGCTTTTTCTTTTCCAAACCACTCCATCCATAGACAAGAGGCTGCTGTAATGCAGCAATCTCAGCTACGTCACCAATGGGCCGTGCAGGTGTCATTTTGCACACATTGCTCAAGCCAGATGTTTGTGTGATACTTGCGGTAACTAAAAGTAAGAGGGAGTGAAGAAAATATTACACATTGCACAAATTCACCAGCACATGATAAGGCTGTTTTATTTTTATTCGCCTGTTCTGCTTTCATCGAGAGCCCCTCAGTGCTCTCCTGAGCAATCCTGCACTGCATTAGTCCTTGCTGACCTGCACTCCAGCTGCTTGCATGACCTCAGCTGACACCGGTAGAAGGACGCAGGACTCCTGGCACTGCTGTGCACTTTATGCATAGGTGCCCTTCATGTGAGCAAACTGCGAAAAGCAGCCATGCTGCTGTGTTCATCATCGTTTTTAACTGGGAGAGGTCAGCAACACGCTGAGAGCTGGGAGCTCATCTCATCTCATTGGTTTCAGAAACAAGTTTAAGAAAGAAATGCCAGAGAAAACGTTCTCAGCATTATCCCCACTTAAAGACATGAATAGGTCAAATATTACAATTTTTTTGGCGGCAGCACTGTGTTCTGTTTGGCCACCGTAAATAACTTTGCTTGGGGAAAACACCTGTTTCTACTTCACATCTTGTGGGTCAGCTACCAAACTTCCTTCTTTCAAGTTCTTTGCAAAGGGCAGCCGAGAGAGGTGTGAACTGAGCAGCCGCTCCCCTCCCACTGCCCTGCACCAGCGCTGCGGCCCCGGGGCCTGATCCAGCTCCTCTTTCACTGTGAAAATCAGAAGTGCCGTCACTGCAACACTCCTGGTTCAAAGGTGTTCGAGTGGCTGTGGGGGCAAGCACACTAAAAAAAAAGCAGCTAAATTATTTCAATGACATTTCATGATGTCAAAGAAGTCTAAGCCAAGCCCTGCTATGCTCTTGAGGCTTATCTTTAAGTGAAGGGAGGATTGTCTAATGTTGTGCCAATAACCGCCTTTTTCAGGGCAAGACAGGCCAAGTACCTCCTAAAAGTTCACATTGCTCTCCTTAGCGCTGCTACAAGTTGGGGCTTTCATGGGCACTTGAATCACCAGACTTCTCTAAGGATCCTTGTAACACAGAAAATGCTCCCCTTGTTGCAGGAAGCACACATTTAAAGCAAACACTCAGGGTCTGAACTGAACCTTTGTTTTAAAACTGCTCCTTGATTTTTTGCCTCATTTCTCCTCCATAGCTTTTAGAAAACGTTCTGCCATAAACTAAAGTCAAGATGATTATTCGTTAAAATCTTTCTTCTGCTCAAGAATTAATGACTCAGATGTGGTAAAATTTGCTGGCGCCTCTTGAACTTTCTGTGGAATTAACTGATTAACCATTTGTACTTTTCTTGTCACTCATTTGAGCTTGGAAGCAGGCTGTAAGACTGATATTTTGGCTTGATTAACCTAAGGGCACAGATCAGCAGTGATGGCCACGCAGCTCTGAACTGCTGTGGAGCTCCTGCCCATTCCTCCCTGCCCATTAATGACTTTATACAGTATTAACTTCTGTCTTTAGCCCTGCTGGCCTCACCACCCAGCCCTTATTAGCTTTCAGATAAACAGTACTGTGTGCTGCCTCTCAAAATGTGTAACCATGTAAACGTCTGAGGAGGCAAGAGGACGGCTGCATTCAGCAGTTTTGTCCTGTGGTTATAAGCCTCATCCACACACGATGCAGTGCCACTGGGAACATGGTATCAACAGACACCATGTCAAAAAGAAAGCTCATTTTCCCACTATGTAAGCAGGGCCTCTCTCTTGCCCAAGTTTCTGTGTATACTTATAAGTCTCCCTGGTGTGGTGCAATAAATCCACGGCACTATGATTTTAGCCTCTTGGAAGGTCAGGAGTGATAGTGCCTTAAAGTGGAAAACTAGCATAGAGATGGATGAAATGCCTTTTCCCACAGCACAAGCTGGATCAAAGGCAGGCTGAATTCCAGCTCCCCAATCCTAAACAAACCCTCCCTCTAAATGCAATGATTACCTTTACAAAGGTGAAGTTTATAAACCCTCCACTGAAAGTTATGTTCAGCTCAGCGTGCCCCATCCCACAGCTGCCAGATGTCTGTGTCGCGTTGGGGTTGACAGTCATGTACTCCATCTGCTTCTGTGGAGAGAAGAGACAGTGCAGGGTTGCTGATGAAGAGGAGGGGAAAACTCAGTAAGAATCACAAAGAGATTGATAGCTGGGTTTTGGGTGTTTTTTTCTTCATATAGGCTCTGTCTGGCTGAATGAACAGGCCAGTGGTGGTGGCAGCCTAATTGCTGGCTGCCAGGGTCATTCCCAGCTCATAAACCAACACTAGTGCTTATCTGACACAGCACCGAGCTGTTCCAGCGACTTAAGATGGCAGAAAATAATAATTTTCTGCTAGCTGAATGAACTAATATGATTCAAAGCAGAGTCAGATGAGCACCAGCAGCAATTTATAAGGAGGGAGCAGTGGGAACTTGTGCCTGAAGTCAGAGGAAAGATCAAGACAGAGGCAGGCAGTGGTTAGATTGGCTTTGGCATGCGTTGCTCCTCCTATCACCCTGGCCTCCTCATGTCCTGCACTGTTCATCTCTAGCATCTGTCAACCCACACTATAATCTGAAAGGAGAGCTCTGCAGCCATGAATACGGTTTGGCTCCTTCGGTCTCATATCATACACACCTTACTTGTGCAATAAACGTCTCACTGTGGTCTGGTGAGGGTGGGGATAATGCTCCCTGCCTGGCTTCAGACAGGATCAAGGATGAAAACTACTTTCACCAACATTAGATACTCATCCCATGTTAGAAACAGTCAGACCCCAGGCAAGTATATTTGGATTTGTAATGAGGATGGGATGAGGCATATGAACTCCACAGCTCAAGGATGTAACCCCGCATATTGTATTAATGGAGGTTACAAAACCATAATTCTGAGGGACGTAATCATAACTGTGGGTTTTATGACATCTATTGCTGAATCATTCACAGTGTAACACTGCTGGGAGAAGGAACCAGCTCCCCAGGACCCCTGCTCTGATCCAGCCTGGCAGATCCTATTACCCTAAAATCAACATGTATCAGCATCACGACCACCCACCTCTGAATCCAAGTCTGTGACTTGCCAGTTTCTCACTTCCATTGCAACTCACAATGTCAAGCCCTTCACTGAAGTCAGTTCAGATTTTAACTAACCTTCCATTCTGGGAAGCACAAATAACACTGAACACCTACCCTCCCAAGTACCACTACCACAGATACATTGCTGAAATAAGAAAGCAGCCGTATGTCCCACTGACATCATAGTACAAACCAAAGTACAGCAGCTGAGGTGCCGTGGCACAGAAAAGGCCTTGGATTGGCAGGAAACCACTTTTATCATACAAGCTAACTTCTGAAAATTGCTTTGAAAGAAGAATAATAAAGCCCAGAAAGAATCATTATAAAGCTCAGCCTTGCAGTGCTCCCACCTCACCTTATGTGTGTTTTGAGCCATCAGTTGCAAACCCATGGCCGCTTTGATGCAGGTCTTGTTCCTGTCAGAAACAGTGTATATGCCAGTGGGGATGGGAGAAGGCTGCGGTGCAAAAGTGGGTCTCACTGTTGTTGTAGTAGATGGGATGGTGGTTTGAGGCCTTGGATGAATGGTGGTTGTGTTGGTCATGGCTGTGGCTGTTGGACTTTTAGGCGGTGTTGTTTGATTTCCTGACCCTGTGCTGGGCTTCACAGTTTCCATGGTGGTGGCTGTAGTAACGGCAGGGGGCGGCCCTTTCGGCTTTTTTGTTTTGTT